ATGATCCTCTAATCTAGTTACAAAATAAACTCCAATCCTCTATATATTAATTGAGGAGACACTAAAGTGAAAATCCTAGGATTTTAAGGAACATGTCATTTAATTTAACCAATGGGAACATTTCAATTAAAATTATATGTCAAAATGGAAATCTCTACATATTCTTATTAACTTTATAACATAGCCTATTAATACATGTTTTACAAATCTAAGTTCAAATAAATGTAATATTAAGACTTCCTATATCATATATTTTTATTTTATTTTTTTTATATTAAAAATGGTTTATTATTATGTTTGTAACAATATTATTTATTGTGTATATATGTATTTAGATTAATGATATATACAAATATTTTAATTATGATATCCTATTATATATAAATACACTTACAAATATTTACACATGTCATTATTGGAAAATATATATTATTTTTCGTTTGTTATATCCAATAAATTCATATCAATCTAAAAATTTTCTGATTTATCGCATGCTCTATAATTTACAGGAATAACAAAAAATATTTTACACTTAAATATATTGAAATAAATAATATTTTCATATGTTTTGACCAATTTTACACATAAAAATATCAAAAGTAATGATATCAAAATATGTTTGATCAAAATTTAACTTGATATTTATGGATAGTGCATATCATTTTTGTTAACTTACCCATTTAAATATGAAAATCGATTGCACAATGCATATTATTTTTGTAAAGTTACCCATTTAAATATCTAAATTTAATTCTATCATATGATTTTTCACACACATTTAAATATTAAAATTGATTAAAAATATATTTAATCATTTAATTCCACGCTTGACGTGGATTAAAATCTAGTATGCAATTAAAATTTATATCTGAAATTTATAATCACACATTTGGTAAATCTAGTTTAATTTAAATGAGGGGTAAAAACGCGAAAGGTTTCGTTCTTTTTGGTGCAAAAGCAAAAGGTCTTCTAAAACCTAAATCGTGTTTAGGAAACCCTAATACAGTATCCTCTCCACATGCCCTACTGCAATTTGGGGGGGGGGGGGCGATCATGATCTCTAAACAAGTTGAAGCAACGCAGAAAACGATTCCTGAGCCAGCGTCATTTTCAACACTACCAGACGAAATCACAGAGACCATTCTTGCACGTGTTTCGAGATGGAAGTACCCTTGGCTCTCTCTTGTCTCAAAGAGATTCCACTCTCTCTTATCTTCTATGCAAATCTATAAGACGCGATCTCAAATCGAAGCCGAAGAACCATGCGTCTATGTCTGCTTACAACTGCCAAATCAACCATATCCGAGTTGGTTTAGTCTTTGGTCGAAACCTAATCAAACAACACGAACCAAACGGAGAGGGAAGATTAGGTTTAAGCAGAATCCAAGTGGAAATTCAGTTGTTCCGATACCTTTCTCTGCTCAACCCTTACCAGATGCCATCTTATCGGTTGGTTCGGAAATCTACACAATCGGTGGAGCACCCTACAAGGAGCCTTGTTCCTCGGTTCGGATCCTTGATTGTCAGACTCACACTTGGCGTGACGCCCCTAACATGACCGTGGTACGTGAGAGTGCAAGTGCAATATTCATGGATGAGAAAATATATGTGATGGGAAGTTGCGAGATTGGCGCGTACTCTACTAAGTGGATTGAAGTGTTTGACAGAAAGACTCAGTCTTGGACAGCCTTGCCGGGTCCTGGCGATGAAGAGTTACAAGGTCAGTTACGACGCGGATATTGTTATATTAGTTGATGCCTTTGAGGGAAAGATTTACGTAGCGGCAAATGAAAAAGACTACACGTACGATCTGAAATATGGTACATGGAAAGTTATCGAAAAGCAATCGAGTTTCCTATCCTCCGCAGAGATGTGGTGTTGGGTAGAGAATGTAGTGCACTGTTACACGTTCTCTGGGTACTTAATGTGGTCTGAACCGTACAACTGGGAGTGGAGAGAGATCAAGGGTTTGGAAAAATTGCTTGGGCACCGTACAAGAGGTTTAAAAATTGGGAGTGCTCTTCTCATGGATAACTATGGTGGAAAACTGTTAGTTATGTGGGATCCATATCCAAATCATTGTACCAAAATTTGGTACGCCATGATTTCTTTGGAATCAAGATGCAATGGAAGCGAGGTTTGGGGTAACGTTGAGTGCGTCGATGTGCTTACATTTCCAGGCGAATCATATGAATACTTGCGTTGTTTCATTGCTTCGGTTTGATGTATGACTCGTTCATTTTTTTTTTTTTGGTCACATGTTTTTGTACTCGTTCATTTTGCTTTAAACAGTTGTTTTGTTCTTAATTTGTTCAATAAACAGTTGTTTTGATCTTTCATTTCAAGAATTAAGGATCCTGTCCTAAATTTCATTTAAAACTGAAGTGAGATTATCATAAGCTTAACTATTAATATATGTGTTTTGCGCTGTGCAATTGAGACTGGCGGTCTAAGTTGAGGCAGAGAAAATTCCAATCGACGGTTTCATTAGTATCTTGTTACCATGCTTTTAGTGGTGAAAATTAGGATTATGATGTTGAGAACCATTGTCAATCGAGATTTTCTCATTGAGATGATGATAAAAAAAAGAGATTTGATACTATTATCATTAATACTTCAAAACAAATTTGCAAAGTTAAAAGAGATTTTCTCCGTAGCAACCAGAAGGGTGAGACTTTTTGCATTTGTTAGCGACTCTCTTCAATATCATCCGATGGAAGAGAAACACCAATAAAAAGGGTGATGCAAGAGCCTCCAAGTTGTAATAGAAACCGGACAATGGAAGAACAAGTGGTTGATAGATTCATCATTAAGGACAAGTTTTGTCCATACGAACACCACAAGTTGCCAAAAGGAAATGTTTGATTTTGGGTTGTATTTGCAATTCCCATATAGCCTATTTTAGAGCTAGGTTGCCATGATGGGGAAGGACTTGAATTGAATCTGTGGCACGAGCAAGAGAGTGTGCAACATCATAACCGGAGCGGACATTATAAACTCCATCCTTAGTGTATGACCACAATACTTTACCAATTCAAGTCCAACCAGAATAGAAGACCACCCAACGACTCCTGGTTGCTTATGTAGCTGTGTCTTGATTATTTTCCGACCAAAACCGAGATATCAAACTCGTAATATCAGAAATGACCACCGATGAAAGTTTAAAACATGAACAATATAACTAATTAACCATTAATACTTGTCTCTATTCTCCTTCCACACCAAAATTTTCTTCTTTCCTCCTGAAAAACAACAACACAAAACTCTTAGCAAAATCCACAATTCCAAAGATTCTCAAACACAAAATCATGAAATTGCTTACTTAATAGCTAACTTGATTAGTGAAGCTGGTCTTTCATATCCTCTTTCTTCCTTCTTTTGACCCTTCAATATCTCTTCTTTTGATTCCATTTTCCATGAAGCTTTAGTCAAAGATTCACCTAACAACTCTGCAATATTTGTAGCCATTGCTTCAACCTTCTCCACAAATGGAAAATTCTTCTCTTCAAATTGGTTAGACAACCAAAGATACATGGACAAAACTTGGTGTCTACTCTCTAAATCCAACAGCTCGGTATCGTTCTTAGCAGAACCTTTTGGCATCCCCATCGCGACATTAACCGGCATATCTTGGCTATAAGTTGAAGCAAATCGATATAAATGGTACATTGCTTTCGGATTCCTGATATTCACCGGTGCAAAACAGAAGTTAAACCGGTCTTCTAGAGATAATCCTTCTACTTTCTCCAACATATTTGCTACTTTCTTCACATGATCATGACGACACAAGAAGTAAGAACCGTCAAGTCTGCAATGTTTCCCAAAATGATTTAAGAGTTTTGAAAAGGTCATATTGGGAACTTGTGCAGCAAAGAGCTCAATCTGTTCAAAGAAAGGGAAAAGCCCAACTTTTTTAACTTCATCAAACGGTTGTTGCAAACACTCGATTAAATAGCTTAGATCTTCTAAATGTAATGTCGTTGTGAGTCCATCTGGATAACGGCTTCCTCTCCTTCCAGCTCTCCCGGCAATCTGTTTCACCTGCGAAGCCGCAACTGGAACAATCTTATCGCCGTTATACTTGTTCAAACTGTAAAATACAACCCGTCTTATGTTAAGATTCAATCCCATTCCAACAGCATCACTAGCAACCAAAACATCGTATTCATTTTCTTGATCGTTAAACAGATTCGCTTGCTGTCTCCTCGTCTCAGGAGGCAATGCACCATAAATAACACAGCAACGATGCTTTGTATATTTCTCGATAGCCATTTTGACTTCAAATATCTCTCTTCTAGAGAACGCAACAATACAATCACCCGACTTAACGTTCTTAAGCTCTCCTAATAAGGTCTTAGCCTCCACAACTAATGGTTTGAACCTCTCGTAATGCTCTTCAACTAACTCATCCCCTGTATCAGCACACATCTTACGCACAATCTCCAAAACACTCGGGTCTCCGCACAAATGAATCTCATCGGCTTTTAATCCAAGCAAAGCTTTTGTCCAAGCATGACCTCTACTAGGATCTGCCATCATTTGTATTTCATCGATCACAGCCACTTCATATAACTCATCTGTAGACACCATTTCAACCGTACAAGAAACATGGTTTGAGAACGGAACATGTTTCTTCTCTTGTCCAGTCAAGAGACTACAGTAAATCCCCAATGCATTTACTTTATCAAAAACTTCCATGGCTAATAACCTAAGCGGGCTGCAATACAATCCGTTCTTCGCTTCCATAAACCGCTGCAAAGCATTGTAAGTTTTGCCACTGTTGGTCGGTCCACAATGGTAAACGATTTTACGCTTCATAGCACGAGCAAAAGGAAACCAAGTCGCAGGTTTCGTGAGGTCTGCAGATTCAACAACACTCTTAAAACGCTTGATCTCATCTGGAAACTCTTCAATACAGAATTCAACAAACACAGGGAACAGAAACTTAACAGCTTCATCTGTCGGTCCAACGCGAACAAGATCCTGAACAACCTCGACTTTACATTTCTCCAAGAAAAATTCCCGGAATTTGCTAACAGCAGTCGGGAAAAACGATTTCCCGATATATATCGCAAGAGCCTGATTAGCTGCCCAACCCGACTGCGCAAAATACCCGAAAATCTCACGTATTGTATCCCATTCACTACGCTGAAGCTTACAACGCACTTCGCTTTCCCTAAGCTCACTATATAGTTCCAAAGGATCATGACACCGAGCGTTAAAAGCACGAGCAGCTTCGCTACTCTCTACAACATTATCTGTCTCAGAGACCGCTAAATCTTTCATCAAACTCTCATCTACATCACCAAGTTCATTAATCACACCTTCCTCATCATAATCCTCACTCTCAGAACCAACACTTTCTTCTTCTTCACAATCATCATTTTCACCATTATTATCCACAGTAGACGAAAAGCCCCTAACTTTACCAAACCCAATACACCCAAATCTGTAATCATTCAACGGAAGCTGAACCCGAACACGATTATCCGAACAAAACCGGCTCGTGGGCACATCGAATTCGGGATTAACGAGAGATCTACAATCAGATTCTCTTAAAGAATGTAAATTTCGGGTTGATAACAGAAACCTAACTCTAGAAGTATAAGCTCTACGCAAAAATCCAGCTACGCCTCTCGCCATAGTCACGAACTCGAATCAGAATCGAAATTGACGATTTTGCAAGCAACGTTTTTTTACCTTGTTTCAAAAAAAAAGTCGCGTCCTTTTTCTTATTGCTTCAAATGGGTTTCAATTCGAGGAAGAATAAAAATAGTAAAC